AAGGATGAACAAGGTTCTATTAGCAAAATAAGGCTGGTTAACATTTAAAGTGCTACAAAATATGTTTTACTATAACAGAATAAACACAATTTGATGATTTCCTTAAATTGTTCCCAATGCATCATATTTATCAGCTGTATTTTATCCTATTGTATACAGTTTTGCTTGTTTGTTTGTTTTTGGTGTAGAAAAGACTAGCCTCCAACAATGTGCTGAGAATGGTGGACGTCTTACAGGTCCAGTGACCAGGCTGTCAGAGTGTAAACACACAGAATAGGGTGTGCCTTAAGTCAGGGAGGATCAATGGAGTTTCCCAGAGTTAATCTGCAGGAAACAACTCTACCGCTGCTTTTACTGCCGAAGCTTCCCTCTCATGTCCATAGAAATGTCTCTAATTCCAGCTGGGCATGAAAATAATCTCTCAGCTTTCATCCTAATGACAGGACTGTGTCAGCTGTGTTGTGTCCTGCTCATTTTATGAATGTCTGATATAAGACTTTTATGTCTGCATTTAAGACCCAGGAGCAAGAATTTGAGTGGAATTAAATAATGGACCTTTCTTCAAGGTTCAGAGAAGGAGTCAGGAGGAGAGGTTTTATTCATTAAGAGAAGCTATGGACAAATTACAAGGATGGTGGGTTGAAAGAGCCTTACTGTTGTGGAACGGATTTAGATTCTATGGAGGTGGTGAATTAAACAGCTGAGAAAAAGCTCTGCTGCTGCTTTGTGATGCTGGTGGGATGAGAATGAAGCAGCAACAGGCGGAGGGATTGAACTATAGAGGCAAAAGATGAAGAAGCATGATTGTTGGGAGAATATATATTAAAAAAATCAGCTGTGGCCTAGGCAGAGGTGGTAGATATCTGCCATGAGACCCCATTCTGCCTTCTTCAATGACTTCACACGGCCTAAAAAGGGGGAAGATGTTGCAACTCCTGCAACGTCTAGGCAGCTGCTTTGAAACTCTCCCATGGGAGGGAGGGCTAAGCCACAGTGGCACATAAATCCTACCTGTCTCTTTAAGTTTAGTATAAGCCTCAGTATAAGCACTACTGCCTCCTGTTGACTGGAATCTTCTGTCATGGTGAGGTTGAAGGAGGACCCAATGAAGAGCAGAGTGCATGCAAATAAAAGGACCTTAAAGAAACACTCAAAATAACTTAGAATGACTCAGATGAAAGAAAGAGAAACCCAAGCATAGGAGACAGGGTGCAAAAAGCCCCCCCTGAAGATTTCAGAGAAGATTCATGAAATACCAACTACTCAGTACAAGGAAATACAGAGAGAAGGAAGAAAATATGAGAGAAGTAGGCACAGCTAAGAAGGATAAACATAATGGACTGAGGGAGAGGGAGAAAACAAGGAAGCAATATTGCAACTTAATAAGCAGGAAGAACTAAGCAAACTGGAAAGTTCTGACATTTACTAATAAGAAGAACTTGGTTTTGCAAAATTTAAAGAAGAAATAAGGGAGAATAAAGGGGAAAGCAAGAACACAACACATAACAGGAACCCAACTGAAGACCTAAGGATTGGTTGTTTTTCTTCTTCAATGCTTCAGGACCTGGAAAACTAGGTATAAAAGTTGAAACGAAGAATTTTGCTGTCTATGAAAAGATTCTGAGGGAGAATGACCGGCCATCTGCTCTTGACCTCAAGCAGACACAAACCGGGGTTCAGCAGCAGAACAATGATTTAAAATAAGCATTGTTCCTCCTCAAGAAAAAAAGCAAAGCATTAGATATCAAATATCACGTTTTAACAATGAAAGTTTCTTTAAACGCTTATTTGTTTTTATGTTTATTTTTTTTAACAGTGTCCTGTCTGGCGATGTGGCAATAAGAATAATTGTCTTGATACAAAAAAAAATGGCCCAAAAGATTTTACTTTCACAAGTGGAGCAGTACAGCTATCGCCGTAGTGTTCCGCTTGATTTATGCATATAAATAGCTTTATTATCATTCATGCAGGGAGTTTTACAGATTATATGGACACTGCAATGTAAGTAGAACAGGAAAGAAAAAACAGGAAAAAGGAGAAAAGATCACAGAAAGAGGAGATAAAAGGGAGATAACTATTAAAAAATCTTCAGTCTGCTTCATCGCCTGCAAAGAGATGTAAAAAGAACAACACAACCTATACGGATATAAGAGATAAAATAAAGTAACACCTTCATACTATCACTGGAGTATAAGTAGTATTATTTAATCTGACATGTATACTGTGGTAGCTGAAGATAAGAATATGGGCTTTCTGTATATCTCTAAGTACCTGGAGCCAAGAAACTAGTTGTTTGTGAGAGTGCACTTGTGCATGTAAAGTTTATCCAAATGCTTAATAGTGGTTGTGAGGAGCCAAAGACACGCCCCTACGGAGCACCGAGGTGAGGATCGGGGCCTCAAAGCCCCAGACATCCAAAGGGATCCCAAGAGCAAAGGCGCCCAGGAGGGGCCAACCCAGGAAATCTGATCCCCCCCCAAGAGAGGAGGAGAGACGGCCCTGAGTAAATCCCCAAGCCACCGCAATGCCAAAGCCCCCAGGAGCCGCAGGGATGAGTCCGTGGGCCCCGGCAGTAGCCAACCGACCCAAAGTGGAACCGGCCATGGGCACCGGGGAGCCGAGGCCCCAGGGGCTCCCCGCCCGCCAGCGAGAGCCCTGACCAGGCCCCAGGGGGTGGGGCCCCGTGAAGCATTCACCAGGAATAAACCAGTACCCGCCCAGGCATCCACCCCCAAACACTGAGCACCACCAGTGCACTGGTGAGCCAAAGCACCAGCCAGCAGAGGCGGGCAGGACAGGGGGAATGGGCTCCGCACTTAGTGAGCAGTTCAGAAACAAACCTGACAAGTCAAAAAAACAAAAATACACCGTCTCAATCACGCCTTCCCACCCTAATGCCCCCACTCGCAACACACAGTCTCTGTGGAAAAAACTAAACGCTTTTAAACACTTATAAAAGCATGAAATGTCATTTGAATAAAGCACATGTCCAGGAATTGTTGGGCCTGTCTCGGAGGGGTTGTATCTGTCTGTGTGAGAGTGAAATGGGTTGTAAGGCTCTGATTAAAAGGAGATGATTGTCTAAGCAGCCTTGAGGATGAAACAATTCCTGGTTGAGTCTGTTTGTTAGGGATTGAACGTTCCTGAATCGTTTTCCTGATGGAAGTGGGGAAAGTAGAGCGGTGGGTGGAATCTGTAACAATCTCTCTGGTCTTTTCCTGGACACATGCAGCTTAGACAGAATCAAGACCTTGTTGTGTTGTAAAAAAATCCCTCAAACATCACAAAAAGCTAGTAGTGTGATGTCTCTAAATAAATGTCTGTATGAGTTGTAAATAAATGCTCATGCCAAAAAAAAAGAAAAAAAAAAAAAAAAAAAAAGAAAATGAAAGAATAGTTTTGTTTGGAATGCTTTTTTGTGTCCCCCTAAACTTTAGTTGTATAAGATGTGATGCAGTTGAACATTTTCCTTGTAAAGGTCATGTTACATGATAATAGAATTTATATGTCAGATTAGTTACAAAAACTAAGGTTTGTTTGTTTTTGTATGAATAATGAATTTCAGAGTTTTGTTTATATAAGAAACACTTGTTTTATAGACATCTTTAACCTTTCCTTGAGTCTCTAGCTCACAGACAGCCTGTCTGAATCATGTAGGATGTCTCCTATGAAGAGCTAGCGTCCCCCAAGTCAGTCGATTAGCAAGGTTTTACTGAAAATGAATGAAAATGAATTAAAAAAAGAAGCTTACCGGTATATAATATTTATCTATATAAGCTTTTATTTCTAGTGCCACTAAGTGAGGAAAATTTGTTCAAGCTAGTAAATTTTTACATTATCTTGACTAAAATAAGGAGAATTTAGATGTATTTATCTCTTTTTTTTTTTGGGTCTGGTAGAGCTCCTTATGTAAACTTATTTTGTTGAGCGACATTTTGAGGCAGTCACTGAAATCAAGTGTTTTCTGTAGCTTTCAGGAAATGAATGTTCAGTCAGATTTCTGCACCTGTTAACCAGTATGTTGGTTCACTGTTCATAACCTAGGTACTTTAAATTGATATTTTATTTTACTAAATTATAATTTAATATTTTTATTATTACTTTTTTAGTTTAGTCTTACTTTAATTACTAGTATGAATTTATCATTTCCTTTAATGGGACGATATGTAAACTTTCAAGCACAGCTGTCTGGGTTTAAAAGTATGGTATTTTATATTCTGGTATTTTACATATCAAAGGGTTTTGTCATTTAGTTTACAGACCTTAATAATAATGTAATGTAATAATAAGAAATGTTCTTAGACAGGTAATATTAAATTAAGTTGTTAAATTTCAAACTTAAAACAGTTTAAAACTTAAAAAAGCTTTATTTCCCGATTCCCGTTTATTTCTTTAATTCTCTCCACTTTGGGGAGTGGTGACCTAGTGGTTAGGGCATAGAGCTTGGAATCCAGAGGTTCTGAGTTCAAGCCCCACTCCCATGGACTGCCACTCTGGGTCCCTGAGCAAAGACCTTTAACCCCCACACTGCTCCCCTATCTCCTCTCTCTTTCCCAGTGGAAACTGTTCCAGCCTTCCTCATCCTCATCTACCTGACTTGCCATTTTGTTCCATGCACCAACCCGTCTGACAGAAACTGAGAACCAACTCCCCATGTCTCAATGCTAAAAAAAAAAATCAGCCATTTTAATAATTACCAATGCTTTTAAGTTGAAAGAGAAAGAATTTGTAGCAGCCTCAATGATTTGTAATTGTTTTACTTGATATGTTTTTTTTTTAACGTACCTGTCATTTATTTTAATGTATCTCTGTTTCTTATGCAACTTTGCTGCCTCTTGGCCAGGACTCCCTTGAAAAAGAGGTTTTTGTTCTCAATTGATTTTTTTCTCCTAGTTAAATAAAGGTTAAATAATAATAAATAAATAAAAAAGAAAGGACTTTATTCTGCATTGAGATGTGCAACGTGAAGAAATGACCATCTCCACTAGGGGGCAGTCTATGCCCGTACAAAGACTCCGCCCTGAGTGTTTGCGGAAATAAACCTCCTATCTTGTGTTGGTTAGCTCTTTTTCAATGAAAATACATTTTAAAAACTGCCGCAAAGGATAACCCAGATGTCTAGTCCTCCAACAGAAGAGTTGATCAAACAGTGGGAAAGGTTAGAGTGATCTCTCTGCACCGCCAGTTTTAATATTGACTGGATGTTTTTACTCTTTCTACCTGGCAGCGTACTTTGTGTTTTAATATGAACTGCATTCTGGATTAATAAAACATTTTAAACCCTGAGTTTGAACTAATAGCAGTGGTGAGATAGTAGTCAGTCATGTATGTGTGTTGTGGCTCTGATGCAGCGAGCAGGAGCAGCTGAGGCAGCAGGTGGTGGAGGAGGACACCGAGGACTGGCAGAAGAGTCCAGGCTTCTCCGGCCTGAAGCGGGTTGGTGGCGCAGACCTCTCCTTCATTAAAGGGGATGAAGTCAACGCCTGCGCCCAGCTGGTGGTGCTCAGTTACCCCGACTTGAAGGTAAGCCGAACCCCACAGCACCTCAGACAGAAGTAAACAGAACCGAGCTCCCTCTAGTGGTGATATGATAGAACAGCAGCAGAGGAAAGTTCTTTTTCTTCTTTGTTAGATTGGCGGATTGCAAACAGCTTTTAGCTGCATACCGCCACCTACTGTACATGAGTGTGTAGCGCTATAGTTCCGCCTTCTATATTCTATTTTTTTGTTTTTGTGTTATGTTAAAATAAAAACAATGCTGTATTGATAACCACATTTTCCTCCCTATCTCCATCTGTCCCTAAAATTCCTTTAATACTCCTTTCTCTCCTTTTATTCTAATTACTTTCCTCATCCTCTCTCTTTCAGTTGCATATTTAATGCAATCCATCAAAACATGATCCACATTTTCTTTTCTTTCACAACCCTCACATATATCATTATTTCTCTTCCATAGTACAAACAAAAACTCATTCAAGTAGGTATGTCCAGTTCTTAATCTATCATAGATTCTGCTTCTTTCTCCATATATATTTTTTAACAATTACAGATTTTTGAACCCTATATAATCTTCTTCCTTTCTCATCTTCATCCCATATTTTTTGCCATAATTCTGTTTCTTTCTTTTTAATTATTGATTTACTTTTCACTTTCCCAAATGGAATCTGATCTATATTCTGCTTTCCTAAAGCCTTTTTAGCCATCTTGTCTGCTATTTCATTTCCTCTCACCCCGTCGTTTGCTGGAACCCAATAGAACTGAACATCTATTCCATACCTAAATAACCTAAACAAACTGATGAAATTCTAATACAGAATCTTTCCTATTATTTCCTCCTGAATGAATGCTTTCTATTGCAGCTTTAGAATCTGTGCAAATCACCACCCTGTCTGGTCTAACCTCCTCCACCCACCAGAGAAATATGCTTTCTGCTTCTAAACTTAACAGACATGAGTCAGATTTTTTTTAATTAATACCCAGTAGTCTTGTTGTAAAAAAAAAAAAAAGGGATTGCGTTTTTTTTGTTTTTGTTTTGTTTTTTGGAAGCATCATCATTGACCTTGACCAGGTGACACATTTCCCACTGGGTACAGCTTCATAGTTATGGTAGGCCACTTTTTTTATTTTATTCGTTTTGCTCAGGCTCAGGCTGTTGCCCTGCGATGGACTGGCGTCCTGTCCAGGGTGTACCCTGCCTCTCGCCCGTAGACAGCTGGAGATAGGCACCAGCACCCCTTGCGACCCTGCTTGGGATTAAATGTGTCAGAAGATGGATGGATGCATAGGCTACTTGTACGCCCACAGCCAGCTAAATATTTGGAGGGCAGTATTATTGCCATTACTGTTGATATATAGTAGAAATTTGACACTTTCAGTAATAAAATGGTATGGGGGGATGGTCATTTACGAAGGGGGATGATATTTAAGATTTTTTTTTTAAGAAGGGGGGTGCCATCCCCCCTCATCCCCCCTTAACTCGAGTGCTCATAATACCTGACGTCAGAATATGTGCTATTAATATTAAAGATCAAGTTTATAAAAGTTTGCTTTGTCTTAAATTTGTCTCTCAGGCCAATTAGACACATTTAGTATATATTCACATACCACATGAACTTTTTAAAGATAATATTACATTGTTCATCAGAACCTCATATTTTTATATCTAAAATACCGAACATTATGCTACTTTCTGCAGCGCTGCTGTTTACTGCACATGCGGACGGTGCACCCATTTCGTGTTCCTAACAGTTTACAGTTGGACTGGTAAACCTTTGTGGGAGTAATATTAAGAGAGCAGATTATGTGCCTTCTGGAAAAGCTGCAAAACGGCTGATTAAAATCCAGACACATCCCCCTGAGAAGGATCTTTAAACCCAGAATGCTCTTCAAGTGCTACTTAGTATAACAGCACACTGCTTTCAGAGGGATGGTTTAAATGCAGGGGTACAAAAATGTACCCTTAAAAGGTTATTTACATTTCCTTAATTTTAAAAGAAACTAATGTCACTTTGAAATTATGGTATGCTCTCTGCTTTCTCCTACATGACTTTTCACCAAGACTTAAAGACTCTTAAATGGTTGTCGCTTGAGAATAAAATAACAACACTTTATTGTACAGTTTGAACTGAATGAAAGCAGTGCTGCTGTGTTAAGGCAAAGGTTTTAGTTCAATGGAGTTACCTGTTTTAAAGACAGACTTACTGGTGGATTTGTCAGGAAACCGTTCACGTGTTGAGACCCAGTTCCCCTGCTTCTGTGCAAAATCCCCAGCTTTTTAAAAACCCATCTGCATCTGGAGTTTGCCTTAATGAAAAGAGTTTAGACACAACAGTAAAGTATTGCTGGAGTGACCAAAGAGCTGTGGCAGCCTGTGCTCCAGAGAAATGCCAGGCCCTGATCCCCTGAACACTGCTAATTAACTGCAGGATCCCAGGAAGCTGCTCTAATGCTGCTGCTGAAAATAATAGAAAATAGTGCTGAGGGACAAACCTTTAATCTTGTTCTCAATTTTTTTTTTATTTAACTTATGACCCTTTTATAGTGCAGCAAATACCTGTTTTACCCTGCAAAAAATTATAATCTAAGTAAGACATTTTTTCTTACAATACTTGCATTTTTCTTGGATTGAGTAGATAAGTGAGACAGTTTGCCAAAGGAATAAGACTATTATCATTTAAAAATAAAAAAACAAAAACAACTGCAGTCTCATTTGAAGTGCATATTATATAATTATTTTATTTTAAGGGTAAAAATACAAATTCAAGTGTAAAAACACTTATTTTAAGAAATATTTACTAATTTTTAGATCATTTTTGCAGTGTAAACACACAGTAGAGTGACCCAAAATTGGTCATCTTTTGCTTGGTTGGATTATTCTAATCTATCGACATTATTTCTATTCTGTAATTCAGGATGTTGACTGTTTATTTCAGATCAGAAGGCCAGTTCGTACAGCAGATGTTTCAAAAGTTTTAGAAGTTTATTGTATCATTTCTATCTTTTATTCTATAAAGTAATATTATTTGAAGATCAAATGAAAAGGGTTAGTTGATCGTCTAAAAGGTTTCTGTATAACAAAAAATAAATAAATAATAACCCAGAGGTGTCTAGAGAAATCTTTAATGGATTACAAATATATAGAAATGTTGTTTAGGGTCAGAGGAATGACTTTATTTTACAGAGATGGAGAATATGTGCACAGAAACTTCTGTGATGTCATCATAGTTGTATTAGTCAATTGTTTAATAATCTTAGTTTTGATTAACTAAAAGCCTTACCAGGGACAAGAATTAATAATTAGCTCAAGCTAGAAGCTCTCTTTAATTCAAAAACAGTTGCATTCTGGGTAATGGGACTATACCACACTTTATTTTCTCCATTAACAGTAAATTCAGCCCATGCTATACATATTCCACACAAAAACATTCAATATTCTAAGCCTCCCTCCTGAACAAAAGCATTCTCACAGCATAATACTGCCACCACCATGTTTCAATGAGTAAATACTGTATTAGTCTGTATTTTTTTTTTCTCCTGAATGTTTTCCATGTAGGTAAAAAAGTTTGTTTATGGTCTCTTCTGACCAGATCACCTTCTTCTACATTTTGTTTTGTCCACTGCAAAACTTGCGACCAACTGAAAACAGTATTCTAGCTCTCTTCTCTAAAGGTCAGATCTGAAAGCGCACAGCTAGTAGTTGCCCTTTTGACACATTCTTCTTTTGTGCTGTTGATCTCTGCAGCTCGCCCCCTCCTTCGATTACTGGATTACTGGTGTCCTTTCCTTCCCAGTCAGTTTAGCTTGACTGATGAAGCGGTGCTGCTCTAATCATTGAGGATGGATTGAACTTTACTCTGAGATTGTACTCTATTTAGACACATCAAATAAAATAGGCACAGTTTGAATCTCTTTTTTTATGATGAAATGCATGGGAAAACATAGAAATGTTCATGGGATGTGAATACTTTTTCAAGGTACTGGAAACGTATCTGTCAGGATTATGTTACCTCTGGCGACACCTAAAATGAAATGTATTTCATTTTAGCAGACAATATAAAAACCTCTTACAGCGTCGGATTTAAAACTCTCCCAAGGAGGAAGAGATTGCCCATTGGCAGATGACAATGTGTTTTCTGCTTTTATGAAGAATGACCTCTTAGACAAGGGACAAAATAACATCTGAGTCTGTTTGATGTGCCCACTGACCATTTTAGTACAAGAAGAGGCTTTAGATGGTGTCATAAAAAAAATCTTGTTTCCTGTAACCTATGTATTATAACTGTTCTCATCTTTGTCTGGTGTCTGATTTTACGTGAAAAGAAAATAATTAGAAAACTGTTAAAGTTACAGAAGTTATCTATTTTTTGAAAGGCAGCTCACTGCTTAAGTCAGATTTGAATCTTTTGCTAAATAAGAAAAAATCTCTGTGCCGTTTTATAAATGCTGGAAGAAATATAAAGCCAACAAAGTGGTGATAGAGGTTGGCAGCCTTGAAATATGTGAATAGTCATATTTTACATAACTGTACAACCGCGTCATTGAAAAGATTAGGAGATGTTCACTTGTTATTGGATGCTTTAATTAATCTTTCTTTTCCATTAGCTTTAGAAAGCAAGATGGTTTGATGATAGACTAGTAATCCTCATAGTGGTTGTTTTCTATTGCATACATGAGTTGTTGGATAATTTTAAAGCATAATAGTTGAAAAAAATGAGAGCAGGTTCTTTTATCTAAACATCTACATAGTTTTTATGAGTAGAAACGGAAACCAATTAACTAAATTATATGATTTATGAAGTATATCCTAAACGACAATTGTTCTTAATGGTTTGTTTCATTTTGCACAGCTTTGGTGTTTAGATGCTTGATTAAAAATTAATCTAACCTAAATAGTACAGGTGAATAAAACTAGAAGGGCTCACTGTGTCTAATCCCAGTGCTGTGAACTGACTGCTTTCTCCTCCTTCCTTTAAGGTTTTGTACGAGGACAGTCAAATGGTGACCCTGACAGCCCCCTATGTTTCCGGTTTCCTGGCCTTTAGGGAAACTCCTTTCCTCCTGGAGGCGCTGCAGCGATTGAAGACCACTCAGCCTACACTAATGCCTCAGGTCTCTGTTCAGAGATACACACATAGACCCCTCAACCCACAGTTACTGCAACAGTTAAAACATTGGACAGAGTTTCTCATTCGCTGGCTTTTCTTTATGCTCTACAATTTAGATTCTCAGTGAAAAAATTCAAACTGGTATGTAATACATAAGCAATTACTTAACATTGTTTTTAAGGGTTTTTGCTTTGATGGCAGCATTGCATTTGCATTGCAGGTGTGCCTTGGAAGCAGTTGATTATTTCAATCTTATGCCTTCCTAATGTGTTTGAGACAATCATTTATGTTGAGCAGAGGTAGGGGTGGCCAAGGGAACAAATAGCCCAGATTGCAAAGATAAGCTTGTTTAAAAATATTTAGGTATAGTGCAGAAGTCCGTGTGTTCCTTCATACAAAATTTTCTAGATTTTTGGGATTCATTTTTAATGCAGAGGGAAAAGAACAAACAACTTTTAATATTGCTGTATATAGTTGATTGATGTGAGCAGGAACTTTCTGATGTTTTTAATCAAGGAGCCAGATTTCAGCTGCATGTTAGTAACTAAAGATGTCAGCTCAGGCTAAGACTGTGCAACCTAACTATGGAAAATAAAAAAAACAGGTTCACCTATTTGAACAATAGACAACATGTTTTTTTTTTTATTACGCCGATTTCCAAGTGACTTTAGGCATGCAGACCGCCTTTTTAACATTTGTGAAAGAATTACAGTCATGGCCAAAAGTTTTGAGAATGATTCAAATGTTAATATTTACTTCAGTTTTTCTAACGGCAATTTGCATATACTCCAGAATATTATAAAGAGTGATCAGCGTAACAGCAATTAATTGCAAAGTCAATATTTGCCTAGAAAATGAACTTTATCTCCCAAAACACACACACAACGTCATTGCAGCCCTGCCTTAAAAGGACCTGCTAATATCGTTTCAGTGATTGCTCCATTAACACAGGTGTGGGTGGTGATGAGGACAGGGCTAGAGATCAACCTGTCATGATTAAGTAGGAATGACACCAATGGACACTTTAAAAAGAGGCTGGTGCTTGGCACCATTGTTTCTCTTCTGTGAACCATTGTTATTTCTAAAGAAACACGTGCAGTCATCATTGCACTGCACAAAAAATGGCCTAACAGGAAAGAGAAGCGCAGCTAGAAAGATTGCACCTCAGTCAACAATCTATCGCATCATCAAGAACTTCAAGGAGAGAGGTTCCATTGTTGCCGAAAAGGCTCCAGGGCACCCAAGAAAGGCCAGTAAGCACCAGGACCGTCTCTTAAGAGTTTCAGCTGCGGGATCGGGCTACCAGCAGTGCAGAGGTTGCTCAGGAACGGCAGCAGGCAGGTGTGAGTGCATCTGCACGCACTGTGAGGCGGAGACTCTTGGAGCAAGGCCTGGTCTCAAGGAGGGCAGCAAAGAAGCCACTTCTCTCCAGGAAAAACCTCAGGAACAGACTGATATTCTGCAAAAGGTGCAGGGAGTGGACTGTTGAGGACAGGGGTAAAGTCATTTTCTCTGATGAATCCCCTTTCCGATTGTTCAGGACATCTGGAAAACAGCTTGTTCGGAGAAGACGAGGTGAGCGCTACCACCAGTCTTGTCTCATGCCAACTGTAAAGCATCCTGAAACCATTCATGGAGGGGGTTGCTTCTCAGCCAAGGGAGTCGGCTCTCTCACAGTCTTAACTAAAAACACAGCCATGAATAAAGAATGGTACCAGAATGTCCTCCAAGAGCAACTTCTCCCAACCGTCCAAGAGCAGTTTGGTGATGAACAATGCCTTTTCAAGCATGATGTAGCACCTTGGCATAAAGCAAAGGTGATATCTAACTGGCTCAGGGATTTTGGGTCCATGGCCTGGAAACTCCCCTGATCTTAATCCCAACTTGTGATCAATCATCAAGAGACGGGTGGACAAACGGAAACCTAGGAACTCTGACCAAGAGCAAACTTTGATTGTGCAAGAATGGACTGCTATCAGTCAGGATTTGGTCCAGAAGTTGATTGAGAGCATGCCAGGGAGAATTGCAGAGGTCCTGAAGAAGAGGGGTCAACACTGCAAATATTGACCTGCTGCATTAACTCATCAAAAGCTTTTTGTTACTCATAATATGATTGCAATTGTGTCTCGGTATGTGATGACAACATCTGACAGATACACATGAAAACCAGAGGGCAGCAGATAATGTGAAAATATTTGTGTCATTCTCAATACTTTTGGCCATGTGTGACTGTACTTACTATCAGCAGCTCAGTGGACGCTGTTGTAGGAGCATTATAGCATAGAACCTGCATGATAAGTTGTGAAATGATCCAACAGCATAATATTCCACAAGTAACAGTTCCTAGTATTCTAATAATATATTTTGTAGATTTAAAGTAGGACCTAAGCACTGTTGTTTTCGTCAAGGATGACAGTAAAAAAATTATTTGTTGAAGCTCCTTTTTTTCATGATGATAATGAAAACTGAAAGGCTAAATATTGATATTTGTTGACGAAAACTTCAGAGTCATGGGTCTGAGTTTTAGTCGACAAGATTAGACTAAATAAAAATTAGATTTTTAAATTAATTAAAAATTGGATTACCGGTATGTCGAATTGCATCATATCTTTGTGTAAGTGTCGATATATATATCATATCGTGAGCTGAATATCAGACATCGATCGTGACATTAGTATATCGCTACAGCCCTAATGTGAACTCTGTAAATCAGGCCGTCTCGTCCAATAGCAATATCTAAGCTCACACATGACAAAAGGATTAGAAGAATTAAATCTGATTTTGTTAATATAGCGTGTTTCTGGATAGCAACAGCAATCTGCTCAATCAAGAAAGAAGATTTTACACCTTGTTGTAAAAGTAGACACAGCGTCTTTGTCAACAGGAAAAACTGTGAGCTTTAAATATTTTCTCCCACAATGCTGCTAGTAGCTCCAGAACACAAGTACAGAAGTAGTCTGAAAACAAAGCTTAACATGTTGAAAACCTATAGAATTATTAGTCTTACACGGCTTTATAAAAAAAACAAAGGAGTTTAAATTCCAGATTCAACAGTGAGCCGCAAAGTGAGTTCTTCAATTTGGCTCTACTAGATCTGATGCAACAAGTCGGGTTTACTCGCAATAATGAAATCCATTTCAGTTCATTTCACACAGCCTCTAATTAGGAGTCACATTACCGAGGTTCAGCTTGGTTCACTTCAAACACGTTAGATCAGCCAGAGCTTCTGTGACAACTCTCCTCTGTTCTCCATCTCACTGTTCCTCCATGTGTCGTCTCTAAGTCATCCCCACCCACTCACTTCTGTTTGTCACAGCCCACACGCCTCCCCCCTCCCTCGCCTCCTCCCCGCTGTCTCGCCGTCCCCACGCACGCAAATGTGCAGAAACAGTCAGGGCTTCACACATGCAGGTTTAACTTCGACTGACACAGTCCCTGCAGCCTCACTGCAAGTTTTCAGCATAAAGACAATAGCTGCTGAATCACCTTTGGCCACAGACTTCCCCACAAAGGAAACACCTCAAGTCATATTAAAAATAAAAGAATAGCAACTAAAGTAATTCTCAAACTGCCTTTCAGGACCAAAGGTGATGAATGAAGCTTTCTAATTCTTCAGCTGTAGCTTTATTATTATTCTATTAAAGCTGATTACATGCAGTAAATGTTCTGTGTCCTGTTAACAGGTGGTGTTTGTGGATGGGAATGGTCTGTTCCATTACAGAGGTGTGTGAGTACGTCTTCACTGTTATTTGTGTGGATTGTTTTGTCTTGCTAATAATCTGAAAATTATTCATTTCCTGTTAAAACTTGCTTATTTAGGGTTCTATTAAGATTTACACAAGATCCGCCCTTTTTGATTTGACGCCATGTGCTGTGATAGCCGTATTATGTCATTGCGAACCAGATGTTGCTATTAATCAATCAGATTAAGATAAAGATAACTGGTAGGATTTTTATTTAAATCTCTTTAAGGAAACATCTTGGCTTTCACTGAGTCCAGATTAATTTTATTACATATTTTTTTTAATGCCAAACAGTTGTAACAGTTGTTTAGGAGCGAGACTAGAAAATACTTTTCTGCCTTTGTATTCAAATATATGTGAATATCTGTTTTTTTTTATAGTGTTGAGAGGCGAGACTACGTTTGACGTTTTAGGCAACACTCACATGATACAAGGATGAATATGTAAAAATGCATCTACTATCTATTGTTAAGCACAGCTGAAGGATATGTTGTGTGTCTGTTTCTAATGCAAAAACACCAGGCAAATATTCAGTCTCTCCACAGCCGGCTTAGTCCCCAAATTTAAATATTTTAGAAAACCTTCGGGCTTTGAGTGAAGGAGAAGAGACAAAAGGAAACTGGATTATTTAGTGAGATTGTGAATTGTAAAAATTCTGGTTTCTTTATGCTTCAGCCTTGAGCTGTTCAAGGTTCTGGTCTTTGTTCAATCCAGAAAAAAAAATCTTCAAGCCTATGAGATCTTGCCAAATAAGCCAAATAGAGATGTTGGTGTCATATTTCAGTTAGCACATTCCTTCAACGCTAGCCAGTTTTTAACTTCTTTACACCCTTCACATTTCATCAACCACTTCAGATGTTTTGAAATAAATGAGACGTAAAAAAATTGTCTTTATTCTTTGAACATTTGTGTCGGATCAATTTCCGTCTTATTTGGAAATCAGGTAAATATTTGTAGCAGGGACTCTTATTATTGCTGCACTTATTATATTGGACATCTTTAGCCACTGAATAAATTGGCTCAGACTGATTTAAGTTTTACAACCTTTTAGTCTGATATAAAGCTGCATGACCAAGGCCACCCCTATGTCTGGTCTAGTCTGTAGTATTAGTATTTAATTCATACCGCACAGATGCCTACTTATCTTCACATAACATTATAGAGAGTCCATATTTAAGCAGTAAACTGTCTTTCTTCTTGAATGACCTTCTAAGGATCATGATTTTACTAAATTATTTAATTAGGTTTTTATATTCAGGGTCTCCCTGTCTAGACAAATGTCAACAGTGAGGAGTTCATCACAGCAATCACATAACCAGAGCCGACACTAGATCGTATGCAGCAGGCTCTTTGATTTTGATTTCTTTGTGATCTTAAGTTAATTAAAATTAGAAATAAAATGACCATATTTTCTATTGACTGGTCAAATCAGTAAAGCTATTTAAAAAATTAAGATCAGATTTTCTGATCAAGAGCTTAAAGGAATTTTTTATTATTTTATATTCGCCCTTTTAAAACTTTCAAGCAACTTAAAAAATCAAGTAGGTATTTGAAAAGCAACTCTACATATGTTTATCTGTGTGATTAAATAGCAGGACTCTTTATTTTGAGAGAATCAGTGTTTTGAATCTGTTACAGAGTTCGGCCTGGCGTGTCATCTGGGCGTGTTATCTGGTCTTCCCTGTGTGGGCGTGGCCAAGAACCTGCTGCAGGTGCAGGGCGTGTTTAAAGACCAGCAGCACCAATCACAAGTGAGGACACCAACTGATATTAATCTAGTGATTAATCATAATGATTAAGAATAAACAAAAACAAAAAAACTCCAAACTACTGTATTTTTATCTTTGTTACAATTTTAGCAATTTTTTTAATTATTTTTTTTTATGGCTCATATGTCTTTTAACAATAAATGTAGTCTCAGAACTTCAAAGTAAATTTGTGTAAAAATCACCAATGTAAAGTTTGCTTGAAAACTATTTTCTGGGTTTTTATGTTGTTTTTAAATGAGGAAAAATATCTCGAGAGAAAATCAGATAAATAACTAATAAAAGTGGCTGGGGCTAAGGTGATACTGTTTTAAAACAGCTATTTTCATAATAACAAAAAGTAAAGCAATCCCAGCTGCTTTATATATTTTGTTTCTATTAGTGGAGTTCATTTGCTTCTCATTTATTAGAGCCCCAACCTTGACAGAAGTCTGTTGATTAATTATTAAGTAAAGTTTTCAAAGAACAATTAAATTTTTTCTTATTTTCATTTGTTGCTCACTTCAAACGTCAGAGAAGTGTGATGCAAAGGACAGACCTGGTCTTTGTGTGTGTTTCCTTTGCTTACGTATTGACCCGCATCCACATGTTTCTGTTTGTCAGAAGACTGTGTTTATGTTCCCCTTTGACAGTGTGACAAGCTCTTGTTGTGCAGCTAATGCTAATGAGATGCTCTGAATACAAATCAAGCTGGAAAAAAATACCTTTTGGTCTGGGCGTGCAGCTGTGACTGCAAATCCTGGATTTGATTAATATGCAAATGTTCATTTTGTTCCACTTTGGAGCCTCGGTGACCTAGACAAAAAAGAAAAAGAGCAGTTTAAGGTCAAAAATGTACCTGATGAAAAAACATGCTGTTGCAGTCTAACACAACAGGTATCTGTACCAAATAATTCAGTTTAACTCTTTTTACCAACTGAATACTCAGCTGTAAAAAGGGTCAACTTGTACCTTAGCATCTTTGATTCTTTCAAAAAATCAACTAAAGTTCAGTTCCAGCTACCTGCAGCATTCACATTGCATGAGATGCAACAACAACCCAGTTCTGTTGTTTCCAACAGCTGCACCTTTACATATATTTGCACGCACATTATATATATAAGTAGTTTTTCTTTTCCATCCATCCACCCCTCCTTCCATCCATCCATTGTTCTGTCCATCCATCCATATATACATCCATCAATACATCCATCCGTCCGCCCATCCATCCGCTCATCCATCCATCCATCCGTCTTTCCGTCCGTCCGCTCATCCATCCATCCATCCATCCATCCATCCATCCATCCATCTGTCCATTTGTCCATCCAAACTCAAACCTCAATATATTTTATTGTGATTTTACATGATATACTCTGCATAATAAGCACTTATAGTTTTGCATAATTCTGAATCAAGCATCTAAGTTTTCCTTTTTTTTTTAAAGTTATTTTCTTCTTAAAAATCTAAATCTGATAACTCTGGCACGATTTTGCCCTTAGCTCAACTGAGTTACCACTTTGCTGCAGTTTCAAGTCTTCTAGATTAGTGTATGTCTCTCTCCAAGCTTTTCTAAGCTTTGAGCATGAGATTCTTTTCCATTCCATCCTCAGAAAATAAGTCATATTGGATGGAAAGGATCTAGGAATTTCAATTTAAAAGTCTTTTCATCAGATTTTCAGTTGGATTAGGATTATTAGAGACCATTCTAGCACATGAATTGATCCAACCTATTCCACTGTACCTCGTACTGTTTGGGGTCAATCTCAGGAAGAGGAACCTCTGCTCAAGTTTCCAGTCTTTTCAGCCTCTATCTAACCTCATCCTGGTTACTTCGCTAAATGCTTCTCCTGCCCAGTCTGTCAGTTTAAGTGGATGGCTATGACTTTGTAGTTCTGTGGTTGTGTTATTTGCCTTCACTAATGGTTCGGCATCTAGTTCCTTTATTTGAAGTAAGCTCTATTCATCAGCAGTGGTACCAATTTTCAGATGATTTTCTGATGATTTGAGTTGATAACTTGGTATAGCTTGTTTAATAAGATTTAACTTGGATTTAAACTTCTCCGCGATTTTATCTTTGACTTTCCCTTTATGTTTTCTAGTCTTTACAATGGCATTTGTTCATTTATGACCCTAAAGCAACCTCTGAGGTCTTCAAAGACATGAGATTTAGTCCCAACAGTCTTGGACTCTGTTAGTTTCATGCAATAGCGGGAAGAAGTTCAATAGCTTTGAATACCTTTACAAGGTACCCTGTAGAACAGTGCCATATGAGCCACTGCTGATTCCATTTGGGGCCACCCACACTCCACTAATGCCTAAAACATGCAGCCCTTCATGCAGCATTGTAGGGTTCTAATTGAATCCTCTGAATGAGTGTCTCTATCTCCCTCAATTAGTGTTGGTGGCTCCCTCATCGGAAATAGCATCTCGTCTCCTCTGACGGGATGAATCTGATCATCTTCTACACGGATCACAGTCTCCCCAGAGCATAATGTTTCAAACATCTCTCCATATGTCTGTCCAAATACTGCCTTCTCCTTTACTGTCAGTATCAAGTAGCATTGGAGTCCCATATCCATGCTGCATCTTTGGGCTCGAGCTTTTAACTTTTAATTTAGTTTCTGCATGAAATTTTAGAGCTCGCTTCCCCATCCATTTCTTTCTAATTGCTCCTCCCTGAGGGCCTTACTAATTTGTCTTTTGGCACATCCAGAGTCGATTGAGAAGCTTATGGAAAATTTGTGGTGGAGTAATGTGTGAAATACAAACCTTAAAGCTACAGTGTGTAATTTTCAGCGACATCTAAAGTCCAGACTGCAGACTGCAGCAACATGAACATCTCCCCCCCACCGCTTCTCCCCCCCAACAATACGGCAAGCGTTACAAGACAAAATGTCTTCCACGACGTCCGCATCACCTACCTTCTCAAGTAATGAGGTTTGTTTACATAGATAATTTTACAGATAGTATTTCATTAGTCTGTGTAGGGTATAGATTTGATAATAATAAATATACCCGTTATTTTTTTCTACATCGTTGTGACGTTTTGGTGAGCTGCTTTGCATGGTGATATAAACAGACGAAGTAATTGTAGTCATTAGTTTAACAGCGAGATTGTGTTCGCTGGAAGAATACCGGTATATATTCCCCGTTTACAGAGTCCAAGTCTTGTTTGTGGCACGGGGGTTACAAGGCGAGGGAGAGGAAGAGGGCAGAGAGGGCGGGGTGGGCGTGCAGCCAGGGCCAGGCGAGGGAGAGGTGCCAGCGGGGGTTGACTAGAGCAGAGGAGGAAAGGCTTGAAGATCTTCAAAGGAGCCAGAGAGAAGTAACCGAGGTATGTATCCGTAGCTCGCTAATATGCAGCTTCATATATCTGTCTCTCTCACATTCACACACGCCACTATCAGCTGTGGTAATTTTATGAAGCTGTGGCCTTACCTGTCCAACAGAAAACTGGCAACTTGAGCGTTACTTTGAAAACCTTTTTCCTCCATCAGTGACTTCCATCGTGTAAATGCCGTGCCAATGTTGATCCGTGTTTTTTGCCGTTTCTTGTCACGCTTGCGTTTATTCTCGTCGTGTTTCCGCTTCTTAGATGACGGGGGTTCGGTGTCCGCCGCTTTTCGATGTGATACAGAGTAGGCATGATCCTCCATTCGTCTGATGTTTGGCCAAACAGTTTGCAAAGTCACTCACGCCTGCCGCCTTGTTCACCTTTCTTGTTACTGAAGCGCAGTATACCTGCTTCTTCTTCTTCTTTGGTTTCAGGCAGACTAAACGCTTCTCAGGCATAATACTGCCATCTACTGTTCAGTACCGTCTCAGTTAATCTCTCTCAACTTGCCGTAGTTACTTTCGAGCGTAATGGGCGATCTCGCAATCGCTAGTTTGTTGCTTCTGCGCTTGCCGTAGCGCAAAGATGTCAGCCTCCATGGCTGCGAGACCCGCTCCTATGTAATTATAAATAACGAATTCTAAGGCAACGCAAATATTATGGTTAAAAGGCTGAGCTCATAGGTGATGATAAATAACATAGTTATGTATAATATATTCAATTTCTGACTTTATATCCCTGTAATTATTACACACTGTAGCTTTAAAAGGGTCCCTTCTAGATTGAGGAAAATAAGCCATTTAAAAACTAAATGAGGAATTATGGGATCTCCACTGGATAAATACGGATGCATAAATCTATGCTGCACAGTAAGATTTAAGGGTCAGATAACGTCCCAATAGAGAGAAATAGTTCAGTAAAACGAAGTAGGGGCACATCTCAGGCTGTAAAATGAGTTGGAGTTAAACTATAGCAGGACTGAGTCAAAATCAAGTTAAAGAATATTATTTTCCCAAAAACTTTGGGATCATCCAGATGTGTTTGGCTAACTGTCCAGGGCCTTTATGTTGTTTTTGGTCAGAAAGTGCACCATATTTGCTCCATCTGCTTCAGTTTCTATTTGCCCTCCTGGATAAAGTCTCTGTGTTCTTTGAGGACTTTTGGTCGGGCAGGTTATTCCTATTATTTACCCATTTGTGCATATTCTTTCCTGACAGATAGATGTCAGCTGAGTTGTTCCTCATCTTTTCTTGAATATCTTTGTTGGCGTCATGTTTTACTTTTTTTAGATCTTTTAGGCTGCTTCATTTTGTCAGTTAGGTTCTGTTTAACAAATTCTACAGGTGTTAGTGATGGTATTGCAATTACGATTTTTTAAATTCAAGACCTAACAGTTTATTTGGCACCTGTATTAAACCACCTTTTCCTTGATTAATAAAAAATCCTTACATGAAACCACATTTTGTTGCCTCTGAAGAAAAGCTTTAAAACTCCTTGTTTACAGTCTGGGCTTAGCTTACATAATCTGACTGCTTACTTGTTTGATGTGCTCCCAACTCTGCTGACCATGACCTTTTCTGAGAGCTTAATCACTTTTGGAAGCCTTTTTTTTGTCTGTAGCAGCTGCAGAATATATTTTGAAAATTGAACCAGTGCAATATTAATGTAAGCAACACTAACACTACAAAAGACAGTTTAAAAGGAATTAATTGTAAGTTTTGATGAGTTTGTTACAATTAACACAGCTGAACTCTGATTTACAGTGGGTACGGAAATTATTCAGACCCCTTTCATTTTTTCACTTTGTTTCATTGCTTCCTTGAGCTAAAATCAAAAAAAGTTTTTTTTGTAAATAATTTGCAAACATTTCCGCCTTCTTGTATTTTTTCTGTCACAAAAATGAATGTAAAATGAATGCTGAATTATTGAGAAATAAAATGAACTTTATTTATTTTAGCAAATGGCTGCAATGAAACAAAGAGTGAAAAATTGAAAGGGGTGTGAATACTTTCTGTAGCCACTGTAGTTAAGACTTTAATAGATTTTTAAATCTGCTGGAGTGCTTGAGGTCAGACACTGAATTAACACATCAGTAGGACACTGTATGTTTTAGATGGTTTCTATTTCTATTTGAATTAGTCATCTTTGCCATTATTAATAGCCTAGCTGTAACTTCAGCTGGTGCGTTATGACCTGCTCCGCCTTTCTGACTTCTGTTCTCCTCTGGCATTTGTCCTGTTCCACACTCATAGAAAGCAGGCAGTCATCTATCTCACACACTGTTGGACCCATCCCAGGTTGGATTGGACAGCCCTCCTGCCTCCTTCTGCTGGCTGCTTGCTGTAATCAGTCATAGTGGAGCAGACAGTCCATCCATCATGGAGGCTAAACTCCCTTCATCGCTCTGGCCCATAAACACACAGTGCACCTGTCAACAGCAGCCCGCATCGCTACGGCTGACTTTGCACCATCTCTTTGACTGTTAGAGCAAAACTTTAGCCCGAGCAGAGGTCGTATTTAAGTCCTATTTGTGTTCGAGTTTTCTTTTTTTCTCCTTTTAATGAAAAAGCGAAATATCCAAATTATTTCTTTAATACAGGATATAGGAAAATAGAAGATGCTCATTTCAGTCACATATAATAAAGATAAGTAAATTACATAGATTTTGCCCCCGAATGACTTTTTTTTTGCAGGTTTAAAAATGTAGCTTAAAGCAGGAAGCACATTATTTATTGGCTTAATTTACAAAGGAAACTTTTTAACTTCGATATTTGCAATGCAAAATTTCTATCAAGGGTGATACCTGCTATTAATTTATCTGAATCAATACCAAAAAATATTTTATTTTCTCTATGTGATTTTATTTGTTGAGACAAATAAATTGTTAGATTGTTCCACAAAGTTGATCAATACCCCATTTAGTAATGCAAGTTTATATTATGGCTTTAGGACCTTTCTCAGATAAAAATCTGCAAAAGCTTTAAAATTAAATTAGATAAGATTTTAATGTACTATATCAATAAAACTGGTTTAAATGTTGTGGACAAAACGCAAAAAGAAAACAAGGATGAATAGAGTCAGCTGGAGTTTGGTTTAGCTGATACTGGTGATGCATTGGACCTCAGTCAATACTGTCTACCACCTGGAAATTTAGATTTCTAGTAGTTATATTAAGGAGTCATATTATAAGATAGAATGGGACTATCCTGAATGTTAAGAAAAATAAATAAAAATGATTTGTTACTTGCTTGCTTTAAATGAGCTTTCTCTTTTCGGTGCATAAACAAATCTGCATTAAATAGACATTTTTAGATTGTTTTAAGACAGTTTTTTGCAATGCAAAGCAACATTTCCCATTCATAAATTTTTTTTTTCAGTACAACCTGGCAATTATATTCACGATCCTTTTCACATTTAGTCACCTTACAACTACGAACATTAGTGTATTTCATTGGAATTTATTTATCACAACACAAATTGATGCAGAATAATAAATAAAAGGACAACAAAATAAACAAATAAAAAGAAAGTATATACTGTTTTTATCACATGTCCCTGCTTTAAATTTCTGCACAACTTTTTCTCTGATCTGTCTGTTGCCTTGGTCTTCCTCTTCCCTAATGTTGATAATGTACACAATGTTTACTAATTCGGCAACTTTTAGAAACAACTATATGTAGTTCTTTTTTAAAAATAAATAATGATAAAATAAATGATAAAATAGGATTTAAGGCAAGTGAATTAAAAAAAACTAGTGACCTCTTCCAGATATTTAATTTTAATAAAAAAAAGAAACACTTTTTTCCCCCTTTCATTCCTTGTAAAACAGTTTTGGGTCATAGTTTACCAAGCAGGACAAACTCTGAGTTTTTCTGTTATCAGATGTTGAAGCCTGGTTGCAGCTAAACCTCAAAGTCAGGTCACTTGATTCCAGAAAAAAAAGTGAGAGAGTGTCATTCCTCATTCTTTCCGATTTAACGGTTATCTTCCTTCCGCTGCTATTTGTTGTGTCATGTTGCACACGTCTTTTGACTTTGATTTCTGTGTCTCTGCCTCCACAGATTGCTGCTCTGCAAAAAGGAGGAGACAGTTTTCCCCTCACCGTTGCCTCCGGCAAAGTACTCGGAAAGGTACGTCAGAGGACAAAACAAATAGAGAAAGAAAATAATATAGAAGCTTTCAAGCACAGCAGTGCTTTGTTGCGGCCTTATTTCAAAGCATAGCCAGCTGGACTAAAGTCAGATTGCTTTAAGAATGATAACAGTTGCAAGTTACAGGAGATATTTGTCTTCATTTTGAGGCTCTGCGAGGCTACGATAAGAGCTCCAAACCGGTTTACGTCTCTGTGGGTCACAAGATCAGCCTGGAAACAGCTGTCCGCCTCACACACTCCTGCTGCCGCTACCGAGTACCTGAGCCTATCAGACAGGTAACATGCACCCTAACACTCTCTGTTAGAGTTCGTCAGGTCAGTGAAACAACACCTTGCTGTCAGCTGCTTCGGAGGGAAAAGTCTTGCTCATTTCTTGTGTAACGGCGTACTGCTGTGAAGGGAGGCGGTGTGAGCATCACGCTGTGCAGAGCTTTTCACTAACAGGGCCTGGGAGGCTTGTGGAAGAGAAGGGATTGTGTATGGAAAACATCAGTGGTACCATGTGGATCTTTTTACACCCCGTCACAAATATACAGACTGTACTAACATTTGAAGGCAGTACGATCCCATTTTACATGAAAAAGTGTATTGGGATACTGAGAATGATTCTGGCTCCAAGGCTGATAGATTACCACATATTATCCCTGAACAGACACCTACTGAAATACATGAACTTCTCAATTATATGTATTGTATTGTTGAATAGGACCTCAGGTTAATATTTTCACATTTGGCTTTTCCACTTAAGAGCTCATATACTACTGGTCATGTCTTGTGTGTTTAAACATAAGGGGGGAGCTAAGTATTAGAATTTTTGCAGTTTTTGCTGTGGCATTTTTTATGAAAATTAGTTAAACATATTTTGATTTGTACTGAGTGTATCAAAAGCAGGCAGTCATCTATATATCTAAAATATCATTTATATTGACCACCCCATTAGTATCCATGTACTGTAGTTCATGGTCTTGTCTTTGATTAAAAAAAGGCCCCTAGCATCATATATACTTTACCTTACCCATCTGTGGACATGAGGTGCTTTGTCATATATATCCTTTATTTTACAGCAAACCTGTTAGCTTGTTTGGTCCTAATTTGGTTTGGTTATATCATACAAATTGGTACGTTTTTGTGTCGTCTCATAATAATAAATAAAGGAAAGAAGAAGCTGTGGTTATTATTTCAATCTTCATAAAAGCTTTTATCAAACACAAAAGATGAACCGTCTCGAATAACAACAGTGATCCCTTGACATCTGAATGTACTATTTTTAGTAAATGTTCAGGGATTTGCTTTAGATGTACAGTTTGTTTTTCTTTCGTTGTGTTTATTTTATTTTTTACCTGAGTGTCCACTCTCTGGGCCACTAAAGGATTCTATTCTATTCTATTCTATTCTATTCTATTCTATTCTATTCTATTCTGTCTGTAGTTAAAAATAATATCAGACACATTAATCTATGTGTTATAAAACTAGCAGCTGGGTCTTTAGCAGTATGTATCACTGCCATCAGTTTTGAAGTGTTTTTCCAGACCTGAACATCCACAAATGTCAACAAGAAATTTAGAGTGAACTAAAATCAAACTCGTGGCAGCTTGGATGCTTATGTTTGTTTGTAGTGAGAAAAAACACCCGGGGTTTTTTTGTCTTGCAGCCACTAGGCTGCGCTATGCTTCTGCTGTTCTTGGATAGGAACATGAACTTAAATAAACATACAGCACATCTCTCTATCAGGCTGATAGTTTTATTTCAAGGGGAGCTGCAGTAATACCCCCACCCCCTCTCTAGAATATTAGTGTTTATTTCATCCAATGTGTGGACGGTGAGCGTCAGGGGCATGTTCACCTTACTCCATCCAACCGGTTATTTCAGTTTTTCCATGTCTAGCTGGGTTTCTCTTTGAAACACACTTTTTTCTGCCTCTTATGCTTCTGTTTTAACTGATGTAAACAGAACATATCCAGCTCAGATAAGTGCGGAATTCGTTGGCGTTTTAGTAACATTTCTTTTCCTCAACATTTTCCAAGTCACAATACCTTCGTAAAAAAAATAAATAATCAAAGACGTGAGGAAGACAAAACAAAAAGGGCAGATAGAGAGCTACCCCTTTGTGGTGCTGCTTACTTTTATATGTCTTTTTGCCATCAGATATCGTGTTGTGGTTCATCACAAGGTTATGCACAGCAGGTTATAGATCAGGAGCACATTAAGTCACTAAAGCAGGTGCAGATCCTGCTTTAGCTGCTATTGAAGAGACATATAAGCGAAATAAAGGGCTTTTGCTGGTGATAAATATTTCTACCTGAAAGGTTGGTAAAGCAAAATGATTTTCTTTAGTCATTTTCAGATATCCGTGGCGGTTTGAAAGCTTCTCTTGGATGAGCTGAAGCATTTATTTTCCCGTTGTTTATTGGGCTACAATCTGGGGACTTTTGCATCCAGAGCATAAACTTTGCATCATTTAATTCTCATCCAAATGCCTGGAGAGCCCTTTGTTCCTCCACTAAATTATCTCTATTTGTTTTAAAAGTGCCTTTCATAAAACAACTGTTCATTCATCAACTATGATGAAAAAAACCTTATAAATGTATTTTACCAGCTGTAAACAAATTTTTTCAAAGATGTTCTAATCTCTGTTCTTTGAACACTCCTGATATTCAAATGTAAGGTGATCATAGTATTTTCCCACTTCGACTTTTTGTCAAACCTGTATTTTAGAGTTATGTTATAAAACGCTTACTGTAACCTTATTTACTTAAACAATCAGCACTGTCTGCTTTACTGCTGATGTTTATTTTATGCCTATTTTATGGCTGTGAGAAGAAATAACATGATAAATTTCATTTAGAAAGCCCAATTGATTATCTTTATTCAATTACTCAAGCTTGACTTTATTGTATTTTATTGTAAATTACGAATTCTGCACTTTTATTTTTGATAATTGATTCATATATTTTCAAGGCTGTAGGGAGGTGATGTTTCTTCTTTGAATTAAAGCTATTTTGCTCTCTGAATGATTGTAAAGGAAGAGCAAAGTAAGAAAAAAAACAATCTTTCCTCTGTCTAATAAACTCCTTTCACCCCAGAACGAGATAAAGCCGACCCCTCAGCAGCTTGAGGGATTCAAAAAGTTGAAAGGAAAAGATGACATCATGGTTTGAGTCTGCAGTGAAGGTTGATGTGTGAATTCACTGCAGCAGAATCTTATAGAGGAACCACTAAAAACACTCACACGCTCGTAGAGCCAATTCACACCCTGTCTCAGCTGTGCTCCCCCCCCACCCCATTAAATTCTCACACTGCCTCGGAGCCTCACACTCGTACATGTGAGGGACGTTAAAGACAAGCAGACATCTGCCTCGGCCGGTCCTCTGCAATCATCACGGCAGTAGAGAGTAACAAGTAGAGGGCAGACAGGGGAAGCTCACATGTCACATCTACAGTGATGAATCTCATCCCTGTGAGTTTGTGTCGCAGAGCTCCCCGGAGCCCGGCATCATCTCAGCATCAATAGGCGATGTTATTTGCCTTCATATGAAGCATGGCTCACTTACAGGGTGATTTGTTAATGTAATTAGCCAAGCTGACGTCAAGCCCGGTGTGTTGTTACTATAGATAACCTTATAGTGGCAGATTTACTACAGGCCTCACAGAAGTAAAAGGTAATCAATGTGTTTGTGGGTGTTTTTTATTGAAAAAAACATGTGTTTGTGCGAAACAGATATATTTATCCACATAGCTGCATAATCCCTTTACAATCCGGTGGGTTATCTAGATTTTTTAGAATTGAGCTGGGCGTAAAATCTAACTATCAACAGTCATGTAAGGGAGTATTTCTTCTATGAGATAAATGAGGGAGGAATAAATAATCTGATCGCATCAATTCATTCATCTGAAGCTTGGGATAAAATATTTAGCTGCTGTTGGATCCTTATTGGTAGCAGAGTGGAACTTAAGACCAAAAGAAAAAAAGAAAAATAGAAAAATTGTTGTAAACTGGATTGTAACTTAAGAACTAGTTTGTTGAAAGTTTTTCCCTGTAGGCTCGCCAGGCTAAACATTAAAAAATGGCTTCATAAAGGGCATCTAATGTCTTAAACTGGGGGTTTATGGTCTGTTGCCACTTTTTAAGCTTTTAAAAAAAGCTCCTAATGCTAAAGTGGGACTCGGTCTTGCTTACTCTTTATCACTGCAGATTGAGCCTCTAGCAGCAATAACGTATCTCCTTTTCAACAAAAAAAAAAAAAAGAGTGTGTTCCATCAGAGGTTGTTGTGAATAACTTCTAATGAACCTATTACAGAAAAAGACTTGAGACTGCTTGAGTCATGCTGCAGAACAAGGATATGAAGCATCCTAGTAAATCCACCTCTAAATGGGCTAACAAAAAAGTTTAAAAAAGGCCTTAAAGTGACCTGGTTAAAGTCTGGAGTTAAATCTAATTGAGATGCTAAAACGTGACTGACAATCCGGGAGCTCTAGTTGGAAAAACCCTCAGAATTAAAGCAATTTTACAAACAATGGGCCGACAGTTCTCCTTAACCATTTTTTTTTTTTGGGATCTGTCTCTGCTATGGTGCCACAACCTCCTATTCACTTAAAAGTGCATACTTCTTCACACTGAGTCAGGTTTATCAAGGTTTATCAATGCTTATGCATTCCCACTTATTGTTTTTCTGTTTCTCTTTATTATTGTGTGAATGCTGTAGGCATTCACACTATTGAGATCCTGTTTCTCTTTATTCTTTATCAAGTGGGAATGCTTATGCATTCCCACTTATTGTTGTTCACTTAAAATTTTTCTGACTCTAACTAGTCCCGCAGTTTTCAACCGATTTCAACAATTTTGGTATCAAAACGTTCAGCTTGTTCAGGAGAATTGTGCTATGTCTTTTGGTAAAGATATTTTTTGTAGTTTTCACGATATTCAGCTTTTTCTGCTTTTTTTTTGTCGCATTAAAATGCATGTAGAATTCTTAGATTTCAGCAAAATTCAGCTAAAACTTCTTCATCTTCGATCTTTAACTACTTCAGCATACTTTCAGCTAGAAACACCATTCAACTTTTAAATTGTTTCCGTATCTTTCTGCTATTACTGATGTGCTTCAGTGAAGCTTCAAACTTTAAAAGAAAATTTTAAGATTTTCAGATTTATAATGGAAGTCTATGAACGGAATTCTTCAACTGCTAGAGTGCGTGCTCTAGCTTTTGAGTTGTTCTGGTTTTTCCGAACAAATTCTTCTCACTCCCTCATTTTTCACTCAATTGAAATAAATTATAC